TTTTGTTGTCTTTGAAGCAGATAGTATCTCTAAGTGGGGAATAGAATGTGACGACACCAGTTGCGATTTCTATAAGTGAATTCTTCTCATCAGCCTGACAGCCGTCATCTAAGGCTTTAAGTGATGCGGCAACACCTTCGTCAGAACATTTAGGTGCAGCACAAAGACCGTCAAATACTGGTCCAAGTACTGGAGGTAGATTTTTAGCTGGATCTTTTAACAATTCTGGGAGGGCGTTTGGATCGGATAGAACCGGTAACAATGGTATAAGCGCCGTAATTGGTACGCATTCAAAGAATTCTGGGTTTGCTACGATGCTAAATAAAGCAGCTTGACATTCTGGTGTTAATGATCCTATCGCTTCGATGGGGTTGGTAGCAGCATCGCTAACTACAGATGCCGTAGCGGTAGCAGCAAGGAAGAGAGATGTAAAAAGGAATTTCTTCATTTTGGTTATGGAATCGGCTTTTTTGTTTAAATAAAGAGAGGGTATTTACTATTATTAGTAAAATTATTATTAATAATATTATTATTATTGTCTTTTATTCACGATAAACTTCTTCGGTAAATTTTCGTGGTGTTTAAATACTAAAAGGATGGTGTTGATCCTTAAATTGGATTCAAAACAAAGTTCAAACCCATGTGAATTATTAATTAATGGAGGGGGTGTCGATCTTGAGTAATTCTAAAAATTTTTTTAAAAAGGACACTCCATTTGGTTTTATTTTAAATGAGAAATAAAAAGTCTACAAGTTATTATATTGTTAACTCGTTCCTTTATTATTTGTCTAGACAAAAATAAAAATGCATCATTTAACCATATGCGAAACAATAATATATAGATTTCACTATGCTGAACTTTCAAACCATATTGAATTTCCGGCGGGTAATCCTGCTAAATGAAGTTTGATGTGTTTGAAATTAAAGTTAAACGCTAGTTTTATATTATAAAACCATGCGATTTTCTAGTTCTTTTTATATTACTTAAAAAAAGATTCTATTATCTTAAATAGTACGACTCCCTACTTGATCAAGATCAACATCCGTTCCTTTTGAAATTCGATTATTCAAAGAATATATTCAAATCTCGCCGATATTCAAATAACTTATTATAAAACTTTATCAATTACCGTCTTAATAATATATGTAAACTTTGATACAAATTTAATTAGATCATATGAATTTCAAAATTTGGTTTGATTCGTTTCATTTGAAAATAGGATAGATTTACCACTACACTTCTTTGAACAATTTCCTTAATCATTTCTTTTATAGGTCCTTTAAGATCGTGGAATCTTTTTAGACTATTAATTTTCAAATTTTAGTGAAAAAAAGAATTTACCTTTTCGAATAGGGATGGACAACTCCTATATCGAAATTATTATTTAAATTTATTTATAGCAAAAATTTTTTAACTATATTGTTTTTATAATAAGCGATCGCCTTTTCTATAATTGTATTTTCTAAAATATCAAGTATCGACTCAATTTATGACGGTTTGTTGAGATCATCGGTGTTATGTTACACAAAACATCACTCCCTAAAAACTAAAAAAAAAACCGAAAAAATTTTTAATTCGATAAAAGTATGCCACCTTTATTATTTTTAACACGACTGTATTTTTTCTTTTTAACGATTATTATTATTTGTTGCTCATTAATTGAATTTCTTCGAAAAATTAATAAAGTATATGGAAAATTAGAAGAAACAATTTCCCATAAAACATGGTTGACTTCCAAATTATCAGTACCAAAATATTATTTTAGATATTTTTATATTATTGGATTTCTTTGGATTTCTTATATTATTATCGAGACGATTTTATTTAAAAATAATTTTATTGGAATATTTTCAATATTTGTTCATTTGTTTGAAAATATCAATAATGAGGAAATTTATAAGGAATATTATGGAAAACAACCAGTGGAAGAATGTATTGTTGCTTTGTTTATGATGGAAGTTCAAATGATACGTAGAGCTTATGAGTGTTTTTTTGTTGAAAAACCTTCGCCAAATTCTAAAATGTTTATAACTCATCATATCGTTGGAATTACTTATTATCTTGCTACTGGATTAGCTGTTATTATTGAAGGTATTTGGAATTTAGGTGTCTTTAATAAAGGTAAGTTTCGATGATTTTTTAATTACTTTATTAAAATAATTTATTAAAAAACTTATGCTGTTACTATTATTTAGATCAATTTACTTCTTTTCCTCCCCTTAAGAATTTTATAAATTGGAATACAATGATCGCGATATCCCTTTTCATTTATGCATCTTATCATCAAAATGTCTTACACAAACATTTAGCATCACTTCGTCCTATTAATACTTCAAATGTTCCAATTTATTTGATTCCAAAGGGAGATTGGTTTAATGATATTTCTTCGGCACATTATTTTGCGGAAATATTAATTTACTTTAGTTTTGTTATATTAACCAAAGGAATGAATCTAACCTTGTGGTTGGTATTGATTTGGACTATAATTGGTTTGAGTACTATTGCAAGGGAAAGTGATTTATGGGGAAAAGAAAAGTTTGGCGAAAAATGGCCCAATAAATGGTTAATAATCCCATTTATATATTAAAAGCGTTTGAGATAAATAAATAAATAAACGAATTAAATAAAATTTATAAAAATATAACTTTTAATAAAATTTATATTTAAAATTATATTTATAAATAGCAATATAAATTTTTAATTAATAATTTAAATAAGAATTATTAAAAATTAATTTGTAAATTTAAAAAAAAAATTATATTATACATATAAAAATAATAATCCAGTTAAATCTATATTAACATATAATGTAATATTCTAGTATTAGAAGATTTATATAAAAATAAGTAAACTTTTATAATATAAATTAAAAAAAAAAAATAATAAATATGAAATCAAAATATTTTATTGGGATACTAAAGTTTTAAGATAGATATATATAATTTAATACAGAAAATCAAAAACTTTAAAATCAAAAACTATATAATTAATATTTGTAAGGTCAGTATTTTCAGAAAATATTAAAAATAATCAAAAAAAGTATCATATAAATACATATTATTTTTTCAGTTTATTGATCTTCTAATATATTAGACAAACTGCAGTAAATATATAGAAAAATAAGTATATTTAGATTATTAAATTACAGTTATAATTAGATTATGAAAGAAAAATAAATAATAATAAAAAATAATTAAATGCTAAAAAAATAATTAACAATATTATAAAGATATAACTTAATTAGATTATTTAAATAGATTATATATAATATTTAAATTATAAATAATCAGGTTATATAATTATAATCAGATTATAAAGTAATAATTAGATTATGTCTAAATATTTAAATATAAAGTAGTAATTAGATTATAAAATATTAATTAGTTTATATCTGAAATATTTATATTATAATATAATAGTTAAGTTATATCTATATATGCTACTCTCAAAAATGTATTTAGCCAACTAAAAAAAAAATCAAAAATTATTTATTTAAAATTTGTAATATAAATTTTAAAATAAATTCAAATAATTAATATTTTGTTTGCTATTATTAGTTTTTAATGCATATTTCAATTCTATGTGACATGTTTTTTATTAAGTAAAAGTTTTAAAAGGAATTTTTTTATTCTTCTTATACTCAATTTTCCAAAGATTTTTTAGATATATAATATATTTGCAATACATTTTTTTAAATTTATTTCATAAATACTTAATTAAATTAAAATCTGAAAATTAGGAAGACCAATTAAAAAGTACCTTAACCCATTTTTAAATAATCTGATTTTTGTTATTTCTTGCTATATAAATTGAACATTATCATCTTGAAATGCATATGATTGTTTATAATATTTAGATCAAATAAACAGCAAAAAATTAATTTTTAAAATATTAATATAATCTAACCAATTCATTTTCCTTCAACTTTTACTAACCTTTTTTTCAAAAAATTATTTTTATATCAAAATGCTATTATTATTATATTTGAATATAAGAGTTGAATTTTCAATATTATATTTTCTCATTAAACAATTTAGGTCTATTTTTTTTAAAAAAAGTAAAATAGGATTTATCATTTTAAATTACAGTTTCTACTTTTAAATTAATCAATTTTAGCATTTAATATAGGCAATATTGGGGGTACTGGGACAGATTTCAAGTATACCCAAATAGACCTCCAAACCCGCCTATGAACCCAGTTTGCTATATGAATC